TATTAGTCCACTTCAAATCTGAAACATCTCTTCAATTTTCGTTATTCCATTACATCATAATTTTCATAGAAATAAACATTCTAAAAGGAATATTCCTAGTATTCTAAATACATTCTAACATTCTAAAAGGAACATTCCTAGTATTCTAAATTGTCTTTAATCCCTTATATAGAAAGATATCTCGTTTTTAAACAAAAATATTAATCTATCCTAGACACATCTAGATATATGTATTTATCAAACTATTCTCTAGATATCTAATCCTTCATTTAATCAATCTCTTTAAATTAACAAATTAATATCAAACCTTAAGTCATTTCAATATTTAATTAACATTCAATTAATTATTGATTCACTCCAACTCTAAGACATCTTTTTACTTCAAACTCAAAATCTCAGTCCTTATATTAGTCCATAGTTCTAGGTTGCCTTTAATCCAATTTAAGAAATTTTAAATTTCATTTTTCAATCTTATTCTAGCTTTCCTCTTTTGCCAGGTAGGTTTCCATAACAGGGCTTCCCTTCCAGATAATAGGTCTCTTTTTGTTGCTTGTAGTGTCACTTGATTTAATACAGACCATCTTGATCTCTGATTTAATCCTCTGTTTCTCTTGTCCATAAAGCCTCGTTGCTTCAGAAGTCCAAAGTTCGGTCTTTGCTTTTCCTGGTCTTGCTTGTAAGGCAAAATAAGATTCTCCTTATCCTCAGTTAAAACCTCTTCTTGTATAATCTGTTTTGTAGAGTAGTCAAGTGTAATCTGGGAGTCAGTTTTAAGTTTTAAAGTAGAGATTCTGGCTCTTAGTTCTGTAGTAGCCTCTTTTATTGTAGTACATATTTCTTCTTTAGCCTCATAGATCTTTTCCAGTATAAGTTTACAGTTTAAATGTGATTGAGGCTTCTCCATTTTAGCAATAGTTGAAGAAGAATCCTTTTCCTTTTTAGTGAAGGTTATAGTTGAACAGTTGAACATTATCCACCCCCACAGATCACACAGCTAGCTCAAATTATCTTTTTTCTTGAAAAACAGTTTGAAGGCCAAAGCTCTCTCATCTCCAAATAAACAACAATCCAATATTAACTTTTGTCCAGTAGGTGTCCTCAGTGAGCTAAAAAGACTTCTTCAAATGCCATTTTTTCCTTTTTTCTATCTTTTAAAGGGAGAATAGAAAAAGAAATACTCTGCCGATATAATACCGCTCCAAAAAGCACAAAAAAAGTTTTTTCTACAGCTCAGTGTAAGTAGGAATAGAATATAATCTTTAAATGAATATTTATTTATTTTTTCTGTCCTTTTTGTAAAACGCGTTTGTTCCCACAATTACTAAAGCCGCTTTCTCCAGACAGGGAAATAATAGTACAAACAGCTTCTACAGGCAAAAACAGCAGGGGTATGGGGAGGAACAAAAGGGGTCTCACCCGGATTATCCGCGGTGGGTCTTTAACGCTCAGATGACGATGTGACTTTCGGCTGGTGCAGCAGGGTGATCGGCAGGCTGATCTTTGCTCTTTCGACCCTAAGGAGAAGCTGGAGACTTGGGGGAAACTGTCGCCTTCCCCTATCTACCAGCCAGCCTCCTCAACTTGGTGGTCGCCTCTCCAGGGCGACTTTCGACCCCCTAGGGGGTCTACCGGCGAAGGAAGCTCCGGACGGCCTGGAGAGAAGTTTCCAGGCGCGACCGGCGTTGCCGTATTTCGGAACCGGAAGTCAGACACTTCTTAAGCTTATGGGTGGCCCAGTATATTTTCTTTGTACCCAGCAGTTGTCTATTTAGCTGAGGATTATTAAAGTTCAAGGGAACAGATTATTCTTTATTTCTGGGTGTCTTGCCAATTTCTGAGTCAGTGTTATACTATTGTTCTATGCTCTAGTTCTCCACTAGATGTCAGTAGTTATTTGTTTTCCAACTTTTTCAAACAAAGAATTTTCTTTTTTTTTAAGGATATTTTAGGATATAAAATCTTAATGGTTTTCTTAATTTTCAAATTTATCCAGTCTATAGTAATATTAATTTCATTTCAGTATATTTCTTTCCCCCTTGGAAGTTAATTCGCCACCTTTGTCTATGGAGGGATGGGGATGTGATCCCCTCCCTTCACTTTTGGATGATTTCTTGCTTTGGGGATCTTTTCCAAGGAATCAGTTACAAAATAGAAGAGAGAAGATCGATACTCTCACCCAGGTCCAAGCACGCTGTTTACCGTTCTTCTGGTTTGTGCTCTTGGACTTCAGCTGCTAGCAGCTTAGTCTAGACGCTGGTGTGCAGCTAGCCTTTCTCCTGTCGGGTTAGATGGCTTCCCCCGGATCAAACGCTGTTGTTCCGTGATCATCAGAGTGCCCTTCTTTCTTCGTCGCCTCTCTGGAATGACATCAGACTTATTTAGGGTCTCTGGCAGGGCAAAACCAGTTGTGGGGTGCGAAGTCCTGTGCTTGCTGTGAGGCGGAACTGGAAGTCTCCAGAAAAGTAATTTCTGTAGTGATAACATTTCCCCCCCCCCAAACGCAACACCTGTTAATGTTAACAAATTATATTTTAAAAAACAACAAAAAACAACTTAAAAACCCCCAATAGAGTGAAACTAAACCTGGAATACCTGCCAGTAATACAGATTAAAAATTAGTTACACCTCATTACTTTGAGAAATATACACTTTCATTCAGTGGGAACTAAAATTAATTGAAGCAAGAAAATTATTTAAAGATGGTGTGAGCATAGCTAAAGTACTGCCTTTTTTGATCTTAAAACAGACAAGTAAGTAAATCAGCAACATAATACTCCGAAATTAAATTGCATTTCCACTCAGAAACTATATTTAGGATTTCAAGACAGTTGCTTGATTAAAAAAGCACAAAAAGAAAATTGAGCAATTACAAATATATTGTTTGAAAAACAAAATGGGATAATCTTTACAATCATATCAAACTGGAAAAGATACGACAGGAAGAAATGAATTAACAAGATAATACAATTGATACAAATTTTACTAAATAAATGAGAAATAATCTATTGTCTTTTCCAAGTTTTCTACACAATGTATATTATTAAGAAAAGCACTCCATCTATTATTCTCCAGTCTTTGCATCTGCACCACAAGAGAAACGAATCACTTGGGAAGAAGAAACCAAGAAAATGAATAATTTGCTTATTGCTTAGATGAGAAACACAAAACTATAGAACTGAAATTTTGAGAAAATGTAAGTAATTCTCCTTGAACTGATCTTCTTGGCCAGAGTGCCAAAAGATCTGTGTACATGGAAGGCATTGGATTTGCTACATTGCACTAATAAATGAGAAATAGTTCTTCTGCCACAGACCTTGGCAGATGTTAACAATTTGAATCAATAATGACTTGCATCGAAAAGAAGCAAGGGGCTAAGTATAAATAATTAACATATTTCCAGAAATACTTGCAACATGACCCTTTGCAGACTTCTGCACACTAACTCAGGATCTAGTTCTTATGAATCAATTACACTTTGAAATTTCTTTCTCAGTGTTTCTAATTATACTGGTAAATGTATGCATTTATCTGACATCATTTTTGGCTGAACGTACCTGAAGTTGCTTTCAAACACACATAGCAAGTTTTTGTAGGAATTCTAAATTTATTAAACAGCAATAGACTCTTCTCTATTATTACTAATGTTATACAGATTTGTCTTTTGTTATAAGAAGCTGCAGTAGACTCTCTCCAAAATAGAAAATGTGTGCATTAACAGCTATGATGAAAGGGGTTTTGAAAAATAGAAAAGGGGAGAGCGGGTCAATATCACTAATCTAATTCTCATAATAAAGTCCATTAGAAAAGGGTTGCAATGCATAATTTCAAATTGTTGTAACAAAATAAGGACATCTTGTGGCAGAGAATCTTGTAGACAGGGAAGTGGGAAGCAGACTAGCAAGTAACAGAAAACAAATATTTGGACCTCTTTTAAAACTACATATCTAAATTTGTGGCAGTGAATTCCAGTTTTAGCTTTGTCTTGTAGGAATTAGTACTGAATCCTCTGTGTGGTTTCAATACATGACTGCAATTCATACTGTGAGTTAAGAACAACTTCTATTTTCCTACAGTGCACGATTTTATATATAGTACTTTATCATGTCTTCTATAACCTCACTTTGCTTCAAGTTAAAAAGCCTCAAATGCTGTTGGCTTTTTAAAAAGCTGGACTGGACTTCTCTGTGACATTTGGTTACCTGAAACTGAACAGAAAATCGTTTTTTCCACCTTATATTCAAATACATGGTATCCAACATGCCTAAGCCAAAAAAATCATACGCTCAGAAGCTAAGCAACTTTTATTTGAATATCTAACAAGCTGAAGTCTTCCATTTGCATTTTAATACTCGTTACCCTGTTACCCTGCCTCCTCCTCTTCCACCCTATGTGCTTTTCCAAAGGAAAGTTTTTTCCCTCAGATCCTTCCCGGAGTTAAAAATTATGGACGATTCACCCCCCCCCCCCGTTCCCCAAAGAGCTTTTGCTGTCAGCATTTGTTCGTGTGGGTTACATTACCAATATTAACTGTATTAAGTTTTAAAATGAATGCATTTGCTGTCGTTATTTTTCACAATTGCTTAATGAGATTTTAACACTTTTATTCTTCAACGTAGACCGGCAAATAAAATTGATTTCGCGGACCGAACACTGGCCAAATGTAACTAATACATGCGTTTTGTTGCATAGCAAATATAATGCTGGGGTGGTTGCACCTGATCTATACTGCAGGATCTCGGTCCTTTACCAGACAGTCTAAAAATAATGGGATTCCGACTTAGGGCTGCAACGTAACTAGGGGCGTCTTCCGAGCCTTCTGCTCGGAATACAGGGAGAAGCGCTGCGAATGTTCACTTATTCGATTTACGCCCCGCCTTTTGCATAGGAGCTCCGAGTAGGGGGACACCTATTTTTTGCAACTGCCGCAGGAACAGGGTTGCCGGTTAATGACAGCGATTACCCACAGCGTCCCGTGCCACAGAATTGCCGGGGGCAACTGAAGCGGATCCCTCGTTGTGCTTTTCCTTCTCCCCAGATAAGCCCGGAGGCGGCGACCGTTGCTAAGGGGAGGGAAAAGCGTCACGTGACAGATTTCAAATGAAAGAAATGGCCAAGGCCGGGAGCCGCGGAGTGGAGAGATGGCGTTTTCCCCCTGGAGGGCAGCCGGCAACCGAAGGCGAGCCGACAGGCGAGTAGCCAGCAACCTTTTCGACTTCTTCCAACATTTCCAATGGGGTCGAGTCCGAAAATACTGAGGGGAGAAAAGGAACTGGGGTGGACCCAAAAGGGTTTTTTTGTTTTTTAATGACGCCGGTAAGGGTAATCGTCTCTTCCTCTGATGGTGTGGGAGAAGGGGCTTCGTGGCCGTCTGCACAAATGAGGTTTCTCTGCCCATTTTAAGATGCAATAGGCGCTCGATTGAGAATGGTGGACATGGTATGCCTGTTGTAGCAACTGTTACTGCCGTGGCTTCGATCGCTCGAGTATATTATCTCTTATTTCTTTATACTTTTTATAATTCTTTGTCTGCCTTTGAGAAAGCAGCATATTTGGTTTACCTTTATCTACGCCTTCGATAGGATAATTCGAAAATAGTTGGACCAACTCCCAGAAGTCCCCAGTCTGGGTTGCAGTGTCAATTCCCCATTGATCTGGATTGCAAAACTCTAGACCAGGGGTTCCCAGCCAGCGGTGCTCGCACCCCGTATGGGTGTGAGACGATATTCCAAGGGGTGCAAAAACTTGGGGTTTCAAAATTATAGTGTATATGCATAATTCGTCGCCGTTATTTTGAACGTTTGCAAGGGGTGCGAGAATATATCAGAAGCATTCTAGAGGTGCAGGGTATAGAAAAGGTTGGGAGCCGCTGTTCTAGACAGTTATCAGATGATAGCAGGACCCTCTCTTTCCTACCATTCCATGTTGTTGTTGTTGTTAATTGCGAAGTCGGGTCTGACCCATCGCAACCCCATGAACAACGTTCCTCCAGGTCTTCCTGTCCTCTACCATCTTCTGGAGTCCATTTAAGTTCACACCTACTGCTTCAGTGACTCCATCTAGCCATCTCATTCTTTGTCGTCCCCTTCTTCTATTGCCCTCAATCTTTCCCAGCATTAGGCCCTTGTAAATATGCAACCATATGCTTTTGCTATACATATCTGTAACATATAGTAGGTTGGGTTATGATTGACCCATATTAGGAATCTTCTTGGCCAAGTGTGGATTTGATCCTGGATTATCTCACTGTACTACACTGAATAGTGTTAGTGACTAAGTTGCAAGTAGTTGCTATTTGCACTACAGAAAAATACATAGGATGGTTAACAAATGTGTATTTTTTTTTACCCTTTCTTGATTTATGCTTTACAAGAGAATATAATGAAAGATTCCTAATGAGAAAGAATAATCCTGTTCTTAAAGCATAAGATGAGAGGAGAGGTTGCTTCATCTCTATTGTTAATTCTGCAAATAAAGAACTAGTGCCCTTGAGGGAAGACTTTTTGCTCCCCAGAATTCATTAATATGCACAACTTCAAAAATCTTGTGTTTAGGGAGGCTTTTCAAATATATTACTGGCTTTCATGCAGACTTTTTATGTGAGAGTGTTATGGGGTTATATTATCTATCACCATATCAGTGACTTTGGGCAATGTGCAGGACCTGTGGGTTATGAACGTGTTCATTTAGCGAGGGATTTCCATACAAGGTATGAACTACTTGGATCATGGTCCCTACTCGCTTAAAACTTCTATGTCCTTTTGTTAGCCCAAATATGAAGTGGACAAAAAATATAATTTATGGATCTTGGCTTGACAGGAGTGGAATTACAGGATCTGGGTTCAAATGAGATCCTTTCCAATCTGGTGCATTCTCTGTTATTAAGCTATTTCTCAGAAAAGCCAAATAGGAGCTTTGGGGCAGTGTTCGCTTGCAGGTCTTTGGTTGAATAAACTTGAAGAACTTTAGTTTACTCTTGTGTGTGAGTATATCTGTAGTATAATTGGAGATACAGATTTCAAGACCAAAGGGATGCTCTCTGGTATGCAGTATTCCCTCTAAAATCAATAGACAAAAATTTAACTTCATGAACAATTTTATTTTTTGTGTACACAATCTTCTAGTCACATGTGCTCACACACATATTCAAATAGCATGCTAAGAACTATGAGACGCTATTAAATGCCTGATTATATTTTATGCGCTAGAGTGATGTACCCTGATGTATAACTCTAGTTCAACTAATTTTCTGGATTTAACTTACTTTGAATGGATTTTGGTACCTTCTCAATCTTATTATTGCTACAAAATGACCTGGATGTGAAAAAGATAATTTATTAAATATGTTTGGCACCCAACTCCCAACGATTCTGGGTAGCTCATAACAATCAAACATAGAAAATACAATAAAATCAGTAAAACAAAAAGAAAGGTAAAAGATGGCAAGTGTGATGAAGGTAGAGGTCTAATTAAGTGGATATGTATGACATACTTGTTCTTCTTACACTTATACTCTAATGAAACAAAACAAAAAGAACAAAAATAATGATTGTAGACTAGAAAAAGAAGATGCTGTCTGATATCTCTGTTTCTCTATACACTTGGCAGGACTGTTAGAAAAAATGTCGTTCCAGGAACACACAGAAACATCCTCAGTATTCTTTAAGAATGGAGTCAGGGAACGGATGAAAGAAAAGAAAAATGGAGTATTAAAAACAGCAAAGATGAATGCTTCCCTCGCATCAAAGATTAGAACAAGAGCAATTAGTAAGTACATATTAAACATGTAAGCATTAATGCAGAGGTATGCACGCTGCAGTTCAATGCAGTTTTTCCAACCCTCAGTGACCTCTTAAGTCATGATAGCAAAAAAGTGACAGTTTCTTGATATTTTCAGGTGAAACCAATTAAATCAGTGGTTCTCAACCTTTCTAATGCTGCGACCCCATAATACAGTTCTCCATGTTGTGGTGACCCCCAACCACTTATACATCACTGGGTGCCAGGGGCGTGGCCAAAGAAAAGGGGGAAAAAATGGTGGACAACCTTGTTTGGCGACCCCCGTGAAATGGTCATTCGACCCCAAATGGGGTCCCGACCCACAGGTTGAGAACCACTGAATTAAATACTTCATGGTATTTTACTCCTTGGGTTCATCACTTTCTCAGGGATTTGATTGATCTTGAATAGTACCTTTCTGCAAGAGAAATGCTGCAGAAACAAGTATGTCTAGGAATATTGGGGCAGAAAAATGGTGCATAGGCTTGCTACTCCATATAGGCTTAAATATTCTATTTTGCCTCTTAGTATAAACTGAATCTTTATGTATGACTTTATGTGACTGACTTGACACCTGAGCAAAGAGACTAAAATGCATGTCTGGGATATCAAATGTTACTTCCACCTAAGTCATGTTTATCACAAATTCTATAATTGATCAAGGTCCTGTAAAAGTTTCTGAGAGTGAATACATTTTGGGCACTTGGTTGGAAAGAATACTAGAGAGATTTCACTTAACTATATCTGAAGCGACCGCAAAGTGGAACAAAAAAAAATTAATTATAGGAAGGAAAGCTGGCAAACTTAACTATTTACTACTTCAGATGAAGAAAGTTGTTGGCATGGAGACTGGGAAACTCATCCCAAAGAAACAAACTTCAGAGCTGCCTAACCTTAAACTCAAATGTGGCAAAGACAAAAACAACATCCCCTAATTCTTTGTTTCCCCCTTTTTTTTCTGTATAGATAATTCCTCTATAATTAAGGTCTCCCTGAAACAGAACAACAAAGCGTTGGCTCTGGCTCTCAATGCTGCCAAGATAACAGCTCAGAAACTTACGGATGACAAGATGCTGCTGCAGAAAGAAGTGGAGTTGGGTCACTTTGAAAATGCTTGCTTACGCCAAAAACTCTCCTCTGTGGTAGGATATTAGCAAAATTCTGTGCTTCTGCAGGAACTGGAATCTTTTTGTGTGTACTATAAAATTTGCACAATATAGAACGGGAATTTGAAATCCTAAGTCTAGATTATTTGCGTTATCATGTTCCTACCGTGTTTTCCAAAAGTAAGGCCTACTGCAGAAATAAGCCCTAGCTTGATTTTGGGGGGTGGGTGGCCTAATACAAGCCGTACCCCAAAAATAAGCCCTAGTTTTGGGGCGAGGCACAAACTTAAAAATCAAGCTAGGGTGGGGGTAGAAGTGTGGATCTCCCCCACGTACCCTGCACCCACTTACCTTGCAGCCAGGCCTCTCCTCGCCAACCCATTTCGTCTGCGGTATCTTCTGCAGCCAGGCTTGCATTTCTGAGTTACAGGCCTTTCCAGAAAGTCACTGCAGCTGAGTGGCGTGCAAAACCTCTGCAGCTGAGGACTGAGCTATGGATTGAATCCATAGCTCGATACTCGGCTGCATAGGCCTTCTGGAAAGGCCTGACTGCAAAATGCAGGCCGGAATGTAGCTGAATAATGAAGCTACTCCTTCGGCCCCAGAAGAAGTGGACCGGCAGGGCTGTCGGTGTCAGAGGTGAGTATAAAAGACATCCCCTAAAAATAAGACCTGGTGTCTCTTTTGGAGGCCCCCCTCCCCCCCAAAAAGACCTGGTCTTATTTTCGGGAAACATAACAGTGAGTAAAGAACTAGACAAAATATTAAGATAAGGTATTTTACTGGTAAATGCACTATTAAAAATATTGTTGTTCCCACAGAGTGATGTAGTTCACTGATCTCCAACCTTTCTGGCTTGGCAGGGGGCGGGGAAAGGGAATAGTTCTGTGTGAGCGGCAGGTGCATGCATTTGTGTGTGCAGTTCCATTTGCAGGTGGAACTGCATGCGCAATGCAAGTATTCATTTAAGCACCCACCACTTGCACAAGCAGAGCTGTACATGCATCTTTACCTGCTGCTTGTGTGGTTGATTGTTAATTTATTTATTTTTTGTTTATACTTTGTTGCCAATTTTTAGAACTAATATTTATTGCTACTCTGTTTTTGAGACCTAAAATCTTAGGTTAAAAAAACCCTTGGTAATTTAATTCCAAACATGTATTTTTTATGATCATGATCTTTGTTATATCAAATTACAGTACAAGTTCTGAAATATGTTTTCTAATTGTATGGAATCCAGATGCTGCAGTTACAGTCATATATAGAGGTAGTCCTCGACATATAATTATAATGAAAACTGCCCATTATGGTAAAACTATTTTATGATATTTTCTAAAAGGATTTTATGACCTTTTTTGTAGTGGTTATTAAGTGACCACTGTGTTTTTTAGTGGGCTCAGTTTTGCCGTAAATGCAGCCATGTTGCCAAGCTCTCAAAGTTCAGTCACATGACTGCCAAGGGGGCCCAATCATCAGAACTTTAAATCCAGGTCATAAATCCTCTTTTTTGGGTCATTATAAATTTGAACAGTCACTAAGCAATTGATCATAAGTTTAGTAATATCCATATACAATGCTGAATTATTTAGGGAAATATAATTGTTGGCGGAGAAGTAATTTTATGGAAACTGATAAGGCTCCCAAATTTTGTCTGATAGATTAAATCTCAGTTATAAATCTCTTAGATTGTATAATTTACAAATTATATCAGGAGTTAGGGCTTCTCTGTCTCTTGTTCAACTGTCTCTGGAGAACAAGTTAAAAACATTGCCATTCAAATAACCTTGGATATAAAAGCTGAAAGAGGTATAGCTTTATAAGGTTGGTACACTGAAATGAGTGTATAAATACACCTTTCAAATTTAAAAATATCTAAATACAAAATGTTCAGTTATTTTATGAGATATTTAGTATGATTTGAACAGTTAGATACAAAGATTAAATATGGAGGATTTAACTAAGTTCATAAATACGGTTGTATTTATGATGTTCCTCAGATTGAGGATATGGCACATACTGTATGTTACTGAATGCCAGCTGTACTATATAGCAAAATGAGAGGTCAATATTGAATGAATGATTCATTGGAATCCATAGATTTGAATAACATCAATGTGGTCAGAACCCAAATATTAATAAGTCCTTTTATTTGAATAAAACAATATAACTGAAGTGCATATACAGTATGCATTGGTTTGGAAAAAGCTATAAGGATAATAAAGAAATATGAAATGCATTTTCTTCTAGTTTTGCTTTTCACTTTATTTTGTTGTGTTTTGATATGGCCTCATGACTAATTAATAAGTATATTATTGTTAATATTAGTATCCATATAACAATTTCTCCAAATGTCTCTGTAATGAAATTTGTGTCATTGAGAGGTAATGAATTCTAATGACTGCAATATTTGGAAAGAATATAATGAATAACATTATTTTAGATACTGAACTGGAGAACATTGAACTGATCCAACAAGCCAAAATTTTATTCTGAATATTAAACTAAATAGATCTAAAAAGATTTGTTTATCTTGCGCAGAAAAAATATATTGATGAACTGCAACTCTTTATGAACAGCCGTTTTCAAACTGCAATCAAGCTGACCAGATTTTCTGAGGTGAACAAATAGAAAATATTTTCAGAATGCATTTCTTTGGTTTCTGTAAACATCATTTAATCTGATTTTGTGCCAATGTGTCTGTGTTAATTCTTAGCAGCCACATAGACTGCTTTCTCTCCAGGATGATTTCCCAGACTGACTAATCAGATCTCCCAATAGCGTACCTGTTACTATAATCAAGTCCATTCATCTTGCTATTGGACTATGTCTTTTCTTTCCATCTTTTCCAAATTTAAAGATTTATTTATTTAGAAAGATACATTTCCCAAGGGAACTATGTTTTTGCACAATGTGCCCAAAATATGATAATTTGAGCCTGTTCATTTGTGTCTCATGTGAGAACTCTGGATTGGTTTGCTAACTGAAGTATTCTCTACCCAAAGTCTTCTCCTACCCAAAGTTTGGTCTTCTTCAGCACCAAAGTTCAAGAACATCAATACTCTTTTTCTCTTGATTCTTCAAAATCCAAGTTTCACATTGATAGAATGTCCAGGAAAGCTGTTGACTGAATGATTTTGATAAAATAACTTTTCCAAGACTTTCATTGGATTGGCAGAAATGAATAAGTCCTTCTGCTTCATTTCTGCTTCCTAGTCCAGTCCAACTATATTTTATTCCTTATTTCCAACTTGGGCATTCTGTTCTCTAACCACAAGCAGCACATCTTGTCTGCATGTTCTCTTGATTTCAGATTAAACTCAACCATAAAACTTGTCAATGCTTTCTTCTGCATTAGTGGTTGATGATTATAATATTAAAGGACTATCTCTGAAATCCATTTCATATTATTCAATCATTAATTACACTGTACCTACATACTGTCCTTCTGGTATCCTTCCTGACCATGAAAGCAATGTTGTTCTGTCTTTGTTTTTCATGACCTGAGTAGTAACAGCTTCCAGTCCATTTCAATTTGCTGATGCCCAAGGTATCAATTTATTTAATCTTTTACTGTGTTCTTTTTCAAAGTCTTACATTCAATATATCTTACATTCACTGTTCCTACTGTAATTCTGTCTTTGTAGCCTCAGATTATCTTTTCTTTCATGGCAACATCAGTAATCAGATGTCCTAAAAGCTTTAATTGAGTCATAAATACAGGCAGTCCTCAACTTACGACAGTTCATTTAGTGACTGTTCAAAGATACAACAGCATTTGAAAAGGTGACTTATGACCATTTTTCACATTTACATCCATTGCAGCATCCCATGGTCATGTGATCAAAATTCAGACGCTTGGCAACTGACTCATATTTATGATGGTTGCCGTGTCCCAGAGTCATGTGATCACCTTTTGTGACCTAACAATCAAAGTCAATGGAAAAGCCAGATTCACTTAACAGCCGTGTTGCTAACTTAACAACTGCAATGATTCACTTAACAACTGTGGCAAGAAAGATCATAAATTGGGGCAAAATTCGCTTAAATTGTTCACTTAGCAACAGAAATTTTGGGCTCAGTTGTGGTTGTAAGTTGTACAACCACAATTAATAGTCTGTACCATTAATAGTCTGAAAGATTCTCAACTTTTTCTCAGTAACATGTTGAGTAACATCTGGCATTATATCATCTATCACTTTACCTTATCTGTTTATCTGCTTTTCTTGGTAAAATACAGGAGTCATTTACCATTGCCTTCTATTAAGTATGAAATTATGTCTTTTCTGTATTCACAAAAGCAAGCATCCACCTCCCAGAACTTTCTACATTGCTACTGCCATATAGGTATCTACATGCTTTAGGATTTGCAGCTGGAATGATCTTCATGTCTTGGGTGACATTTAGATTATGTGATGTTGGCATATACTACCAGCATTCTTGCTCATCCTTCCCAAGAACATCTCCCTGCCACAATGAAGCAGCAATAGGGTTCTCTGAACTTAGAAAACATTTAAGCATCATTCTAAAATGTACAGATTCACACTTTATGTTATGCCAGGATTTGAAAAAGCTACAGTAATTCAGTTTACACATAATAGTAATCTGTAATGAGTGAGTTCATATATGTTGTGCTTACAAAGCATATTACGACTTGGCAATATATATGAACTGGGACGAATTTAATTATAAAAATTATAAAATGAAATTTAAGAGTTAAATGTTAATCTTAAATCTTACGTGATCTTTTCTCCTGTATAGAGTGATTCCTATTCTTCATTGCTGGATGAAAGAGGGCACAGTGATACTCATGATATTTCTCGCAGTCAGGATGATAACAACTGTCCTAGGTGTGCACAAAAGCAAGTTGTATTGTCTTCAATGAAAAGAAAGTTAAGTGTATCATATTCATGGGATGGTAAATAGTTGATCCCACTTTCTTTCTAAAATAAAGTAGTATCATTGTCATTAGCACTGTTTGACAAATATAATGATGAACATTATCTACCGTTGTTGTATTGACTTGGGAAGAGTCAGCCTTTTTGTATCCTAAAGATTCAGTTTTGGTATTGTTCTGTCATTGCTTGAGGGGTCTGTGTTCTGTGTGATATTGGACACAATCTTTTAGAAAGATAAGCTTTAGGAAATGTATTCTCCCAGCGTAAAAATTCAGATCATCTTATAAATTGAACCCGTCCATCCCTACTTGCTGCCCACTTTTTTTAGGAACCCTGCTTGTTCCATTCTTCTTTGCAAGGCAGTTTATACTTGCAAAGGGAACGGCATACATAGGGCTCCATTATCCCATTTCCCCTATAACAACCTTTTGATATAGTTGTTCTGCTTGACTGGCTGGCCTGAAATCTCTTAATTGAGTTTTCATGGCTAAACATGGGCTTGAATATAGAACTCCAGCATTAATGAACATCTAAACTACTACACCACATTTAATTGAATACTTAATGAAAAGAACTTTAATTGCCATATATATGGCACAACATTAACCTATTTTTGTCATTCTTTTTTCTTTTAACTTTCTAGAGTGGCACCAAAATCAATGAGAATTCCACTGTCTCAGGTGGATGATGAAGGAAGTGGCAATGGCAGAAATACACCCACCAGTTTGGAGAAATTTCCTTTAGATCCATTGAAATCTGCTTTTGATGAGACTTGGAGAAGTATGCCTTTCCCTGAGGTAAAGAAGTCGCTCTCTTCTTTCACTGACAAATTATCGGCAAGCAGTGGAAATAGTGATTCAAGGTTACATGGAGTGGATGTCTCTACTTTGGCATTTAATTCAAACACAATTTTTGGAGGTATGTTCTGGAAAAATTTTACCTTGTATTACACCATACAGAACTTTTTATGATTCAAAGGAATATTGAATTGTGAAATTGTGTTTTGAGTTGCACTGTTACATTTATTTATTTGTTCTTTGGGGTTTACTTCTATGTAAATACGTATTTACATAGAACTCAATCCCAAAATGCATGTTCTGTTAGGGTGTAGCTGTTGGATACCTCTTCCTTCTACCGATAGATGTGTGGTATTCATTACTATCGTGCTCTTTAGAATGTAATTCAGAAACATTGTTTAATTTCCGCTCAATCTAATATAGCACCATACAGGTAATTCTTAACTTATGACTATAATTAGGACTGGTGCTCCCATTGCTAAGCGATTTTGATTGTTAAATCAGTTGCACCTGATTCTACAATCTTTTTTGATGCAGTTGATAGTGAATCACCATGGTTAATAGGTGAATCATGGGGTTGCTAAGCAAATACAGCTCTCCCGCCCCATCCTTGACTTTGCCCATTGGAAATCCCCTGGAAAGGTCACAGTTGGTAATTATGTGACTCTGAGATGCAACTACCATCATAAATACATGCCAGTTGCCAAGCACCCAAATTGTGATAATGTGATGCAGGGATACTATGATGCTTGTAAGTCCAAGGACTGGTCAATAAATCACTTTTTTTTAAGTATCATTGTAACTTCCAATGGTTTTAAGCTGAGGACTATCTGTAGTAAGTTACTGTCCAAAGCAAGGGGTTGGGAAGTGAACTTACTAGTTGTATCTGGCTGATATCCGCTGGAAAAATGGATAAAGTAAATGGATTTTACTAGATAGAAAGATCTCTTTTTGTATTTTTACCTCATTAAGTTTTCTAAGTGGCTTATTTTGGAGTGTGAAGATTTTTTTTGCCTAATAAATATAATTATCATTCTAGACAACCTTTGGAATGTGCCACAGAATTCCAGGAGTTGCTCACTATCTATCCTGGATAACAATTATCCTGTCCAGCAATGTGAGGATACTACAAGACCACACAGTGATAGTATATTGAGTGAACATGTGACTAAGAGAAAAAAACGTAAAACAGGTTTTCCTGCTACATTTGGAAACAACTTAGAGGCAGAAGTCTCAGACATTGATAAGCTGCAGGTGACAAAGGAAACAGAGTCTCTTGTTAAAGAGAATCTTGAAATCAGTCATGTTGGTGAACTTATTACATTGAGCACCAAAAGAGAAAGCTGTATAAAGATCAATGCCAAGGAAACAAAAACTCTAGAAAATGATAATGCTGAAACAAAGAACACAATGTTTTCTACCAGTCAATCAAAATTAAACTTGAATAATGGTAATAACCGAAGACCGGATATTAATGTTACAGTGTCAAAAACCAGTGAACTGAACAGTAGTAAGATAAAACCTCCTATGTCTGCCTGTCATGTGGAAAATTCAGATCATGATAGGAAGGAGAAACGTAGTTCCCAACATTTAGGCCAAACAACACGAAACAGAAAAACCTTTGTGATAGAGCCAAATCGTGTAAATAATTACACAACTCAAGAAATTGAAAAAGGAATATTCTTGGAAAAAATGAAGAATTTGGAAAATCAATCCCAATGTCCAGAGTCTAGATCATTAAGCAATGAAATTCAACAAAATGAGAAAAGCTGTAGTTATAGTACAAAATGCCTTAATAAAACCAAAAATTATAGAAGAACCATTGTGCTAGATCCAGGGCCTTCCAATGATAGGAACAGTTGTACTTCTTTTCAACATGATATTAAAAAAAAGACAGACTTGGAAAACTTAGATAGTTTAGGAAGATGGGTCCAGAGTCCAGAATCTAATTCATTAAACATTGTGAATACAGAAGATTCAGTTGCTTTCCAGAAGCAAGTTCCTAATCAAGAAGCAATTTCAGGACTGAATGTAAAGCGTAAATCAAAGAGGAAGGTGCATGAAAATAATGGATCCCATAGATTAAGTGAGATGGAAGAACAGAGTTTAGATAATATAGATTATGAACTTCCACAATCAGAAATTAAAAAGAAAAAGCATAGAGATAAAACAATGAATTTCGATAGGGATATCGTACAGAAAGGACATTCCAAAGCCAATGCTGATGTGTTTGATTTGAATGAGAAAGCTCAAAAAGTCAGTAGAAAAAAGAAAAAATCAAAATGTACGCCATCTGTACTTTCAGTTTCTTTGGGTGATGAGGATAACTTTTTTGAAGGAAGTAATAGTTCAGTCAAAAAGAACTGGGAAACCTCAACCACCCCAAACAGTTGTTCTTTAACTAAAAAAAGTAGCCATTTAGAGAAGGCAAACTGGATGACCATCAGCAATGAGGCTGGCTTAAAAAAAAAAATGCCAACATTTGGCAAGAAAACAGGCATTGTAAATGATTTGGGTAACAACGGTACTGATTCTGAACCATTCCTTCAAGGTCCAGAGGATTGTGAAATCACTCAAACCAAGCAGACAAAATGGAGTTTTCTCCAAGTTGCAGACTGCAGCGCTTTGCAAAAGCCAATTGTGGATATTACCAAGACCTTGTCTCTAAATCCCGATTCTCCTTCAGTTGGCCTTTCTAAAAGCTCTAGGTATGTTGAAGTCCAAAAAAGCCCAGAAAGAGATTGTGCTTTGTCAATAATCTCAGCTGTCTTCAAGGAAAATATTAAGCAACTTGAGATTTCTGGAAGAGAAGAGAAGCAGCCCATACAAGCCATTGCAAAAACAAGTGCAGAAAATGCAGTCCTACAAGAAAATGGTGAGTATTAGAAGGCTGGAGACAAATGAAATTGATGGTTTATAGCAGTGGTTCTCAACCTGTGGGTCGGGACCCCATTTGGGGTCGAATGACCATTTCACGGGGGTCAGTCCGCCATTTTCCCCTTTTCTTTAGCTGTGCTACTCCCTTTTATTCTATTGACTTTTGAAAGCCAATAGAATAGACTCTCTTGAATAGAGTCTAATTCTATTGGCTTTCAAAAGCCAATAGGAATTGTCCAGGCTGTCTCTGCCCTGCTGAGCCCGCCAAAAGTCCCATTCTGCAAACAGTGCTGCACCAGTTGAGTAGTCCTCGACTTACGACCAGTTGAGTAGTCCTCAACTTACGACCGGTTGGGGGTCGCGGCATTAAAAAGGTTGAGAACCACTGGTTTATAGTGAGCCCCGAGGAGTGTCACCTGGTTTTGCCTTTCTTTTTGTGCAATCGTATATGAGTTTAGTACTTTCATTTCTGATGACCCTAATCTCTTACAATTTAGATCAAGATTTTTTTCACTTATTGGTGACTTAGAACCTTTCTATAATTGTTGAATGAAAAAGAATGTCATGGAAAGTAAGAAATTTGTGATGTAACAGAAGCTTGCCTCTATTCACTCAGACCGTATCAACATATATGATGGAAAAATCTAATTTTGGTTTCTTTATCATGAATGGAGAGTGTTGGGATTGCAGCCAAGAAACAATTAAAAGCTTTTACTATAGGAATAGCAGAAAAAACTAACATAAATGTATATAAATGAATTAATCTTTAAGATAAAACATTCCTACATTTATCTGTTGTTTTACAAGCTATAAGATACAGTGACTTAAGAATTGTCATCTTAATTCTTACCTTGTTTCTTAATTTAACTTTTTTTTTTTTTTGTCAGATTCATTGTCCTTAAAAGATATTTCTAAAATGACATTACTGGTAGTTAAAGGCTGTCCATATAGGAACTTTCTATCATGATTAAATAATCTGAGCAGATTAACTCAGGTTTTATACAGTTGGCCATGTAGGAATTGGTTACTTTATTTCTGCTTGAGAGGAGTGTGGCCAATAGGTACATACCTGAAGAGTAACCTAAATATGAAAAGCTGGTTCACATTAGTAAAGTTAATGTTAAACTACGAAGTATGTTTAGCGTGCAGAAGAGAAAGCTGAGAGGGCCTGATAGCTGTCTTCAGATATTCACATTGTAGGTTTGGACTAATTTTCACTTGGTCCAAACAGTAAAAGTTAGAACTAATGGGATGAAAATTCAAGGATGTAGATGCAGATTAGAGATTAGGAATAAGGTAGTCCTTGGTTTATAACCATTTGTTTAGTGACCAAAGTTTCAATGGCACTGAAAAAAGTGATCAACTGGTCCTTACACTTGTAACCAATGCAGCATCCCCACGAACACGATTAAAATTTGGGTGCTTGACAACCAGTGTGCATTTGCAACAGTTGTAGCCTACTGAGGTCATGCGATCACCATTTGCAATGTTCCTAGCTGGCTTCCAGCAAGCAAAGTCAACTGGGGAAATCAGACTCACTTAATGACTGCATGATTTACTTAACAACTGCAGTGATTTGGTTAGCAGCAGTGGCATAGGAGGTTGTAAAATTGGACATGACTCGCTTAACAAAAGAAATTTTTGTCTCAATTGTGGTTATAAGCTAAGGACTACACGTAATTCCTTACAGTAAGAGCTGCCCACCAGTAGAATAATTTATCAACATGGAGAGGTTTCTTTCCC